GCATTGTTTCCACATATAACAAGCAGCAGTTTTTACTGGAAAGCTCTGATAAACCCACTGTACAGTACCTTTCCAGCACCAGACAGACAAAGTTAGCGGTTAGCCAGTGAACATAGTGGAACATTTAGTGGCTAAGAGCCAGATATTTCCCTCAGGAGTTGTTGAGGCCCAGCCAGAGTAGGAAAGTGAATTGGACTTACATTCATGGAGGCCAGAGACCCGACTTCAGAGTAATACCAATGCTGCTCTGTATTTGCTCAGTGTGTTTGGTAACAAGCTCTCCATATCAACTTTATAAGGTGACAAAATGTGATTGTGTTTACCGCCCCCAAGTGGCCCAAAAAAAACAATTTTAATGCAAGATCTAAAAGGATGGCACTTCAGTTGTACTCTAAATCCATAAGAGCCCGATTAGGAGTCGCAAGATACATTCAAGGGGTCATTAAATTATTAGTGGGGTAGGAAATAAGGAAAAACTCATTCACAAAAACATTTCGCAAGCACAAAAGGTTGTGAACCGCTGTTCCTAACTAACCAAAATCCCAGACTCCAAGTGCAATTTAAAATTTTAGAAGCAGCCTAAAATTACAAGACCAGACATTTAATCAACTTTAGATTTCCTCTTTATTTCTTCAAATATATTTTTACTACCAGCGGCTGTTCTCAGCAGTATTCCAGGAGGGCCCGGGAGGCAGTGGCAGAGCAGGGTTGACTTCAGAGGAACGCAGTACAGACAGACCGACCATCTCTCAAAAACTTGTACATCCACAATCCAGGTTCTTCCCAGAGTGAAGGAATGTTGAGTCCAGCTCTGCATTTTATACACAGAGGAAGATGGATTGGCTGTGGTGTTCCCAGCAGTGTGGCAGAATTCCTGTCACCTTAGAAAATTGGTGTAAACACAGCTGTGGGAAATGCCTGTAAGCCGGTGTGTGAGGGAAACATAGGAAATTTGAAATATCCCATAGGTGCTCAACTGGGTTGAGATCTGGTCACTGCGAGTATATGATTCACATCAATTTCATGCTCATGAAAGCATTCAGTAACACCCCCCTTTCTCCTCCACTCACTTATTCAGGTTGTTCCTATAATTTGTCACCAATTTGTAAGATGTTGAAGGTAAGGTTGAAAATAAGGCCAGTGTAGAGACTAAGGGAAATGTATATCACACATCCAATCCAGAAACTATATGCTGGTTTGGCAATAACATAAGTTAAACGTTAAAAGTTTGCAGCACATGGTGAAGGTACTATATAGAAGTTTACAGTACCCTACTAGAGAAGCCCATTGACAAACATTAGCCTCTGGGCTTCTATTGTCTCCATTTTAGTGGTAATTTGATAAACAAAATAATATTTTAGGAACATGCACACATAGGTCAATTCTGACAGAGAGCTCCTCTACAATACATGTAGACAAAACTGGTATTAACCCATTGACTTATGTTTATTATTTATGTTGATTTGGTTATTAAACTTAAACTTAAATTATTAAACTTTGCAATCAAATTACAACAAAACATCTGACACACAATGTTGCCTTTGGGATCTCTGAAGATCTTTGTGTCAACCAGGGTGAATGGATGCCAATCACAGACATCCACAAAAGATGAGAATTTATGAGTATTTAATCTGTACAAACACAAATCCTCCCAGTTTAAAGTGGACTTCTCTGACAAGATTCTGTAAGAATATGCTACCCTCTTGTGGTCAGGTTGGAAATGATAAATGTTGGTGCTTAATGAATAGGAGAGGGAGAGAGACAAACAAAACATTAATATCGAAATCAAACAGGAAATCCAAATACTCGGTCTGATAATCTGCAACAAAGACAGCAGTAACCGAAACTGGGAAAATAAACTGTGTGAAATCAAAGAAGAAATAAAGAGATGGGAA